GTGTGCGTACTGTATACGTGCGTGCGCGTGTGTGCGTGCGTGCTCACCCCAGCTGTTGTCGGCGTGCAGCGGGCGCGCGTCCTCGCACACTTCGGCCGCGAGCTCGACGGGCGGCGTGTGTGTGTGTGTGTGTGTGTGTGTGTGTGCGTACTGTATACGTGCGTGCGCGTGTGTGCGTGCGTGCTCACCCCAGCTGTTGTCGGCGTGCAGCGGGCGCGCGTCCTCGCACACTTCGGCCGCGAGCTCGACGGGCGGCGTGTGTGTGTGTGTGTGTGTGTGTGTGTGCGTACTGTATACGTGCGTGCGCGTGTGTGCGTGCGTGCTCACCCCAGCTGTTGTCGGCGTGCAGCGGGCGCGCGTCCTCGCACACTTCGGCCGCGAGCTCGACGGGCGGCGTGTGTGTGTGTGTGTGTGTGTGTGTGTGCGTACTGTATACGTGCGTGCGCGTGTGTGCGTGCGTGCTCACCCCAGCTGTTGTCGGCGTGCAGCGGGCGCGCGTCCTCGCACACTTCGGCCGCGAGCTCGACGGGCGGCGTGTGTGTGTGTGTGTGTGTGTGTGTGTGTGCGTACTGTATACGTGCGTGCGCGTGTGTGCGTGCGTGCTCACCCCAGCTGTTGTCGGCGTGCAGCGGGCGCGCGTCCTCGCACACTTCGGCCGCGAGCTCGACGGGCGGCGGCCGCGCGCGCGCCTCCTTCTGCCGCACGACGCACTGCGAGTCCGAGCACTGCGGGTTCGGCTGCAACAGTGCACACGTTGCAGCTACAGTTACAGGTACAGGCAACAGCTGTCACAGCGCTATCGTCGCGCCACAAACGAAAAAGCACCGAAGTCTTTATCACACTATCGAAGTGCCGCAGTACTACGCTTTAAATAGAATAGTTCTGAACTAATACACGGACCATTGACCGCTCACCGGGCTGAATACCTTACCCGACGGAAGATGTGACGGGGAAAGAAAAAAAGAAGTACTACTCCAGAACTTTCATGGCGTGTTTTAGGCTTCGGTGCGCCACACAACTACAGGCACAGCTATATGTACAGGTAAGAGTGGCCGCACGCCATAAACACACCCTACGCACACTGTTGTACGCACCGGGACTCAATAATGTTACCAAGTATAATAAAAAAAATAACGTTAATTAACGTTACTTTCATACGAAAAACTTTATTATAATAATGTAGCAACTATGTATTGACTGGTCCCGTGTTCGATTCTCGGGTCCGATCATAATCAATTATTGGATTTTTCTAATAACAAATTGTCAATAGCTCGTGCTCGGAAAGCACGTAAAACCTACGTCTAATCTCTCTACGGTTATACGAATTACCCTCTTACCGTGGTTATGCGAATTACCCTCTTACCCTCGTACCTTACCATAGTTATGAGAGTGAAGAAATAGAGAGTGCACCTGTGCTTACGCATACACTCGAGCACTATAATCAATCCTGTCCGGCGCAGATGCTCTCAGATTCACAGAAAATCTCCGCTGAGACCGGCTGCCGTGACCGAAATCAGTCTGAAGGACATCATTGTTACAGATATTGGTAACAAGCAGGCTGTTTTGGTATTAAGGTTCACTACTTTTACAGGGACTGATCACAGAAACAAGGTGTCAATGATACGGTGGTTTATTTGCTACTAAACATTTAAATTACATTTTACCTTATTAAAGTCCTCACTCACACTTGTATACTGTTCATCTTACATACAACACACACGCATTACAATATTGCTCGAACACAGGCTAATAAAGATTTATAGACTTTATACGCGTTTTATTTATCGAGACTTACAGTAACGGATGACTTTGCATTATGTTGTGAATGGCTAAGTGCTGCGCGCTGTCCACGCTATTTCTCAGAAACGGTTAAGTGTATAAAAAATGTTTAGAACGAAAGTTGAATTTTATTATACCAAGTGACGATAAAGTTATCACATTAAATGAAAAGACGTATCCTACATATATTTCTTTAAACATACATAACTAAAAAAATATATAACAATTAATATTTTAATCGCAGTAGCATTTTTTCGTTTTAATATTAAATAACATCATGTAAATGCATACAAATATCATCTGATGAATACTAGAAGGTCAAAGACCCATGGCATTCGAAGGCGAATATACCTAGTTAAACGTTGCCAATTCAAAATACTCAAATAAATAAAAAATCAAGCAAAAAATGTACTTACGGCTAACAGTTTAAGGCATAATATTATGCGCGAATTAAAAACAAAGGGACCGCGCGCTGCGGGTGTGTGAAAACAAATTCAAGCGAAAAATTTACTTAAAATAAAAAACTTAAGGCATAATTCTCTATGCGCGAAGTGACAAGAAATGGGACAAAGTGTCAAAATTCATATTGACTGATAGTCCGACGCCGGCGTCCTTGGGGATGGTTCATGAGTCGCTTGACCTAATTTTCGTTTTCAAGTTTTAACACGTCCTTTAAGGGGCTACTCCATGCGAACGACCTTGAGCATTTTGCCGGCGGCGCGCCGCTCGCTTCATTTTCAACATCAATAAACTAATTTATGGAAATACACACAGCGTACAACGATAAATGTATTTTAATTTTTTATTCGCATATTAGTTGCATTATATTAGAATTATGTATTTTCATATATTATCTAATTATGAAATTTTGTAATTAATTATATATTAAAAATGAAGCATTGAAAATTGTGAGTTTAAAAGAAACCTATTCACTATAGGTAAATAAATAGATAGCTCGCCTTTTGTACAAATATTTGGTGCAATAAAGAATAAATAAATAAATATGATGTTCCGTAGATGATAGATGTGTCTTTGATTATTGTTAATTTGTACGTGTCACGTATTGAAAAGTAACATACCTACCTACAAATTTTTGAACTGAGCACCTTGTTACTTAGCCTGCTTATTACTTGTGCTGGCAGACATTATCCTCGCCCCAATGATTGATGAGGATGAAAATCAATTTTATTTCTACATACGTAATTATATTTATTAATACATAAGGGTAACTTTAATAAAGGTAATACAAAAATCAACAAGAAGTATAATCTTTCAATTTCAATTGAAAAAAAAACGTTACCTCCACACTAGGATTTTGTCCTGTATCGTGGACGCAGTTTACAAACATAAATTGCACAAGGACAAACATCCAGACCCGGAACAATTATTTGTAGGCCATACAAATACTTGTTCCGTGCGAGATCCAAACCCGCGGCCCCCAACGCAACAACTGATTGCCAAGCCACTGCGCCACGGAGCCGTCGCCGGATTATAGCTAAAGTGACCATACGTCCCGTTTTGAACGGGACTGTCCCTTTTCTCGGTCACCAGTCCCATTGTCCCCAAACAAAGCTCCGGGACACAAAATTGTCCCGTAACTCGTTGGATGGAAGTATTCAAAGTCAACAATCTTCAACATAATTTTTTTTAATCGAATATATTTTGTCTACCTGGTACGAATGCTCCGGTAGAAAGAGTATTTTTTTATTTTGAATAAATTGTGGACGTCTGAAAGAAACACTTACGGTTCCAGAGTTCTAAAGGCGATGTTGTTAACAAAGATAACAAAAAAAAAACGTGAGCAAAATTTTATTCTTATTTAAAATCATCACCAACTTTATTAAAGCAAATTTAATCCACTGACAAATGTAATTAATAATTTAAAAAAATATGTTGCATTTAATAATTACCGTCTATACCGAATATAATTTTATAGTGAACACTAATTGTATAAAGTTATAGTTTTTAGAGTATAAATAAACTTATGTCCTGTTTTGAGTTAAAAAATAAATGTTCAGTTTAGTCTTTTTAGTTAAATTTAGTTTTAAAATTTTTTAGTTAATAGTAAAAAGTAGGTATATTAGTACCTACTTAGATACTTTTTACCGAATTATAAGTATAGAACACCTTATGTACTCAATTATTTTTTGAAAAAGAAGAAAAAAACAAGCAATAAATAATATACTATATTTTAGCAAAAATCTATAACTTAGTAATACTAATTATAACTTAAAACATAAATGAAAAACTCATAACTGACTTTTGGCCCGACCCAGGATTCGAACCCGGGAACTCATGATCAGCAGACGCACTACGAGTACTACAACCACTAGACCAACGAGGCAGTACTATACCTAATAAGATATTGTCGTTGGATGATAATATTGAATTAGCCTTTTATAATGTAAATTATAATATTTGTCGAAATTTTAATTATGGATTCGAACCTTACATGCTAATGGTGCTTCATTTTTTTATTTGCATTTACTTCAAAGAAAATACACGCAAAAAGCTTCATCGCGCAGTAAAAAACACAACAAATATATGTATAACTAATACGAAAAATTATACCCAAAACAAACAAATAATACTATCTATAAATAACCTAATAAGTAATAATATTATCGACTGATATGACGTGAGCGTATGCGCTGGTCGACGCTCTAACGACACGGGCTTCACGTCGAAGAGCTCAGCGCTCACTGACTTCAGCAAGCCCGTGAGCAGTGAATATGCCCAGATTTTAAAATAACTTCTTAATAAAATCAAATTTTGGTCTTTTGAAAAAAAATACTATAGAAATGTTCATTAATAAATTGCCTATCCATTGGTGTAAATCGCAAAATAAAATAATACTTACTTTACGAGGAGATGCATGTTATCAATAATAATTTCACATTTATGTGGTTTCGTTGTAAGGAGATTATATTAATATTTATTCCTTTCAAAAAAAATTGGATATAGCTTTTATGGAATCAAGATTATGTAGAAATATAATGTGTTTTTTATTTCTTGATATATCTTTTAAATAAAAAGTAGATAGCTCCTAAAAACCGCACAAATAACGACTAGCGCGACATTTTGCTCAACCTGCGCCTTAAGTTTTAATTTTTGTTTTTTTTTTTTTTTTGTTTTGTGGACATTTTAATAAGTTTCTTAATTTGTTTGTGATAGAAGACGTTAATAATACTGTTGCGCGCCACTATTAATGTCTTGTTTATGGCAACACTAGTTACACTAGCGCCCCCTAGTGTCGAGTAAATGAAAGTATTGCGCGCCACTATTAATGTCTTGTACATGGCAACACTAGTTACACTAGCGCCCTCTAGTGTCGAGTAGCAGAACTAGGAGAGTCGAGATCCTTCCAGAAATTTCGGGACCGATATGTACTCGAACATTCTAGATGTCGCTACAGTAGAAGGTTCTGGAAACTATCTGAGGCCCTATATAAGGCAGGTATAGACCACGACCGGGGAGTATTGAATTGGCGATACAAGAGAATACTTCGAAGCGAAATAACGGCGAACTGTGTTTTATTATTAGTGTGATTTTAGATTGTAATTAGTGTTGTGTAATTAAAGTGTCAATTTTGGTAATTCAATCGGCAGTTTTAATTGTCTCGAACCTCAAGCTCGTAACAATTGGTGTCAGAAGTGGGATCAAATATGCCGATTTTACCTAAAGACGACACCGAGGGTATCCGTACCCGAAGTCAACGCCAACAGGAGACGGACCAGAAACGATTTGGTGGTGCAACGTCACAGACGTCGGCAGGCCAGTTGCCGACCACAGAGGCCGGCCCGTCAGCAGCTCCTGCATCTGCAGCACCTGACTTAGGTACTCTGATGATGATGCTGCAGGAACAAGCTCGCCGACAGGAGGAACAGGCCCGCCGACAGGAGGAACAGGCTTGTCGGTTGGAAGAGCAGCTGCAGTGCGGACAGGAGGAACAAGCCCG